GGATTTCATTTTTTTTCTTCAGAAGCCACCACTGTTTAGGAAAGAAACCGATAGTATCTCATAGTATGGGAAAAGTAGGTGATGTGTGTGAGTGTGTGAGTGTGTGAGTGTGTGTGTGTGTGTGTGATTCATATCGAACAAATTGAGCAACGAAGTAGAGCAACGAAGGGAAGTACAGGAAAACACATGTATATGCCGAAGGCCTTTTCGCATTTACTGCTGCATCAGGGCATCTTAGACAAAAGATACAAGAGATATACATGTACTGAGCAGTCAGGTCACGTCGGTAATTAGGCGTGCGACGACCTTGGTTAGTTCGTGGCTCCCTGTTGTGGTGTTGAAGTTGTTGGTTGAATGGGTGATCACCTCTTCTACCATCTTCCTTTGTCGTGGGGACAGGCCTTGTTTTTTATGATTGAGGCCTGGGACCACTTAGGGAGATGGCCGTCGGTGTCGACGTGAACAACGATGGCGGTATTGGTCGATTCGATATTCGTGGAGTCCTCTTGCTGTTTCACGAATATATACTTCATCGCAGCCACCACAAGGTATACTGCGATAACCTGGCTAAGAGGTTTGCTGTGGTTTGAACTCCTTTCCCTTATGATATCTCTAATCTTCAGACCAGAAGTGGAAGCTATCTTCATTGTACGGCCCAACAGGGCTTCCAGGCGCTCTGTCAACTGCGAGTGTGGGATGTAGGTGTGACGTCCCCTCTTGATCTGGTCATGATCTTTTCTGCCTTGCGTCGGAAGTGGGCGAGCAGGGCGCGAGGGTAACAGGGGCGTTGGAAGGTGTTACTGACGTGTTGCATCTCCTCCTCCAGGAACTCCGGGCTTTGCGTGTGCGTGTACGTGTGATATTTCCTCTACTTTAACAGCTATTTATCCCTAGTGTTCCGCGCAGACTGGACATTTCCAGCTTCCCAAATGCTCAAAATAAATGTACTTAAACTACATTCAGCGCATACCTGGAATGTTCATCAGTCGGTGCTTAACCACCACAAAATAACTGAACATTAAAGTGCTGAGAATGCCATCCATTCCATTATACCATCATATAATTAGCACCATCACGCCGGTATCAGTTTCATCATCCTATTTATTGTTGTTAAGACTTTACTGAACCGTAACGATCTCGTTTCGAAAGTTCTCGTAATTAAAATCAGTTCTGAACTATATCCAGGTAGCATAGTACTGGACATCCCACTTTGTCCTTGATCTGATTTGAAGAGCGATACGCTTTCATCTGCTTCAGTTTACCACCAATTACCAGATTTGACGAGGAATATATCGAACACATCAAGGTAATTTTTGAACTGCGGATTAGTCGTTTGGTAAAAGCTGACACTTATCCACTTGTGTGATATCTGGATATTTGACGTGGTTTCCAGCCAGACAGAAAGGTTGGAAGTTCAGTTTGAAAGTTAGAGAAAAGGGCAGATGCGATTCTCCAGACGATATATAGTTAAAAAAGGTCAGAGTTAAGTAGCGAGGAGATAATGAAAATAAGTCAATTTAGGAAAGACTAAAGGTTAAAAAGCAAGGCAATAATTAAAAAGGTCTAGGTCTGACATCGACTAACATTGATCAGATGGTTACGCAAGTCAGAAAGTCATAGAACTTGAAAATACAGATAAGACGAGAAATACTGATTAATGCTCAAATGATTAGCCAGAAGTTATTAAATAATTGATCTAGAACTGCAACTAACAAAAGTTCAGACCAGATAGTTAACATGCTAAGAAGTTACAGACAAAGGAAAATTGTAGTTTCTAAAATACAAACCAAATTGCGAAAAAAAATGATTTTTTATTAGAAGCATAATCAACGAACTATTAGGAAGATCAGACAGTTATTGAACTATTAATAATGGGTTTAACAAAACAACAAAGAAAGCTATTTAGAAGAATTAGAAGATAGAAAAGAGAAACTAAAACCTAAAACTAAAACAAACGGCGAATGAGCGAAAGAAATTGTTAGGAAAACTAGGATAAAAATGACCATAGAGTATGAACGAGTAAGCTAGTTAGAAAAAATAGTCTGAAGTTGAATGTAAAATGGTAGGATTAGCAAGTTACGAGGGACAGAAGACTACTGATTTAAAGAATAAAGACAGGAACAAGTGTAAACGCTAAAATCTTAGAGAACAAAAATTATGGCAGGTAAATTAGAAGTATAATGTGGTTTAAAAGTTGTTTATAAAACCCACACATAAGGACATACGTTTACAGAAAAGAGTAAAGGATCGAGTGCAAATGAACATCTCTTTTATCATCAAAGAGATGATAAAATGATTCAAACTAGCACGTTAGGCCGTACAAGTGCTTACATGATTTAAGGAGTCATTATTAGAAAGGGTTAGGTTAAAACGAAAAATCAAAGAGACATTGAAACTCTCTTTCCGAACCATGTGTTTTCCGGGCCCACACTGTCACGCTGTTTCAGAAGTGAAGGTATAGAACATAACGACAGCAAATGCTCTTAACGCGTAGCCAGCG